TCCCTAATAATTCCAAGAATTAGGTTCAATGTATCTTCAGATCAATAGAAGATCCTGAAAACCTGGAAATTCGGCACGTCAACTGCAAAAAAAACCGTAACTCGGTAAGTGGGGCATCTTACCTAAGTAGGCGTCATTCCCAGATTCATTACATAAACTGTATATAGCATGCCAGCACACGAAATATAAAAATAAGCCGATTTTTCGGTAACAATACCCAAAACAGCCTTTCGCAATTACTTTCAATACTGCTATAGTATTGCAAGTATCTGTGTCATTTTACCTGCTATGGTAGAAGGTAAAATGGCGCATGTATTGTTTGGTATTTTAGAAAAATGGCTGCGATATAAAGAGTTTCTTACCTTGAATGGAAGAGTACTACTACTGTACAATATAACTTTCGAGCTTGACAAACTTTCGTAGGGGTTGCGTGCACTGTACAATAGAAAATGTAGATGAAAAATCTACCTGTTACTTGCGTGTTGTCGTATCACCTGTCTGATCTACCACGCAATGGTGATTTAATAGAAATGTTTTAGAATAATCTTGATATTTCTGTATAATATAGAGGGCCTTTAGTATATTTCACACAGAAAAAATTTGCACAGAATTTATACCAACAAAAAATTATGACCTTTCCAGCCTACCCAGAAAGAATTGGGCAATTGTTGAGCCTTAATGCTGAAATTTTTTTATTAGTAATTGCTTTAATTAAGAGTTTCAGGTGTTTTCTTTCTATTGTTAAAATAAGAATTTTATAGGGCATAAAATAAAAAAATACACGTAGGCATTGTTTGCAGAGAGAATGCGTAATAATTCAAACAGAGAGGATTACAATAGGAAGAATTTGAAGGGGATGAATGAAGAGAATCAAGGTCAATTGTCGTCACGGATTATGACGTCAATGGTTGTCTCACCGGCACGTGCCGGCTTTGTGTTCTGATAAAAGTTGTAACCAGATCGAAAATCTTTACACCATAATTAGAAATGTGAGCCTTATTTTAAGGTTCAATTTTCTCAATTTAATGATAACGCCTACGATGATCTTTTTATGACGATTAACTTTATCATCATCAATACAAGATGGATTCGTTTATCTCAGAAATATTGACTTTATAGACAATGATTTTAAAATAGACCCATTTTTCTGTTAACTGCATTGGATGGATGGAATAAGGCAACGCAACATACAGGCAGTCTGCCAAACGGGGAAGGGGATAACACCTAAACGGGCAACTGGCCGCTATTTAGGTGTTAGACACGTGTAAAAAACTCGTGATTAACTACTAGTGTTCAGTGGTTTTATCCATTCGGCCACCGGTGGGCATTTTCTAGTGATAATGACCTAAATAAGTCAGTTACACTAATGAGTGGTCCCAATCCAGGAGGCGAGGCAGTTAATTAAGGCATTAGACTACAACTGCAGGAGGATCTGGGTTCGAATCCCAGGGATTTTTCACGGGTCGAGTCCCGATAACGGATATGTAAATGAGCCCTTTTAGTGAACACGGGATGGAAAAAGTCATAGTCCATGTACTGTACATTCGGACCAATTACTAAGTGAAAATAATCTATAATGGCCTAACAAATGAATATTTCTCCTGTGACCATGAACAATACTTAGTTCCATCCAGAATATACCACAAATTAACAAATTGCTTCCTTTTAATGTAATGAACAATACGTGTAAGCAGTGAAATTTCCTGCCTAAGGGACCTGACATTAAGGACCACATATTACTAGAATTCTGGCCGCACATAGAGGCGCTTAATGATGACGCTTTCAAAATACGTGTAGATGATCTGAAACTGATGATGATAACCTTGAAATTTCCAAATCTCTACCTTCATCTTCAGCATTATTAATTGAATCTATGTAATAATGCTGAAGAACAAATGCAGGTCAAAAGGGAGAAGATACAGCGACTCCACGTTAAGTGGTACCGCAGAACACAAGAATCAATAAAGAATGATCCACAAAAATAGATTAATGGATTTGATAATACCATCTAAAATTAAATTATGGATAAAAAATACAAGTGGCATTCTTCTTTATCCCACACAACGAATGATGAATGAGTGGTGTAAACAGCTGGAAATATTGCACGAGCTTATTTGTACAGTAGTAAGGACGATAATTGACGTAGATATTAGAAAGAAATTTCATAAAATTTCGCATAATTAGCACATGCATTAAAAATTTCTGCTATGTAGACACTAAGTGGGCCTTATGATTGGTTCAGCAAGATGCTGAGGAAAGGAGCCAACATATAATCGGGAGCATCCATGAAAAATTCAGTTGCTTGCCTGGATTCGGTCCCGGATCCCTAAGAGTAACAAGCCTTATCTGCCTCTACAAGACCACTAAATGGTGTCTCAATAGCAAAAAACCACAGCGACCTCTAGTGGCGCATAAGTAACTTATTAGTTGTGCCCTCTGGTGGCCGATAACTTGCAATACGAATGGTGCTTCATACTTCGAAATACTGTATTTAGCCGAGATGCACGAATAAATAAACGAATGACTGCGTGACACATTTTTTAAAGTTTTACACGTCGACACGCCGAAATTTTGAAAAACTTCCAAGATTTTTTTTTTCTTAAGCTAGAATGTAGCTGTGTCTGAAGATCACTGATCACACTCATCCCATGATTAATGAGCAGCTTTCAGCTGTAGTCTTATCGCAACATGGAGCACATGCCAAAAATCTAAACAGAATTAGTAGTTCGGTTGTTTTTGAGGTCTTAAAAACTGAATAGAAGTCATCAAAATTTAGCAGATTGCACAGAAAAGTTTTTAATGGATTTTGTGGCTTAGAATAGCTCTCACACAGTTCATCAATTAGCATAAAATGTGCCTTTAAGAAGGCATGAATGATGGTGCATTATATATGAATGCGGGAAAGAAGAACCGCGAATTGATTTTGGATGCCTCAAAAAGTCTAAAATGCTTCATTTCAAATGCTAAATTAAAGATTTCTGATGATACAATATTGAAAATCTCAAATTATACTGTTTCATTGTTATAAAACAGAAAAGGTAAATGGTACTGTACTTTTGTGGGGTGAAAAATAGATCCATATTTTTGTGAGGCCAAGTGCAAATACAGATACGCAGACTTTACAAGGGCATTAATTGGGTGCAGATCCCTTATATTCTCAAGAGCCAAAGCATTGACAGGAATAATACAACCAAGAATATAATACAATACACCCAAGAAACTGATAAGAATAGATTACTGATAAAGAATGAAACCTGTTTCAGTACAAACAGCTAATTTTGTTTGCCATGTTAAAATTTAAGAGTATTTAACTAGTGAAGGGCAAACTTGCATACTGACCTATTTGGGTCCATTGCTGCTCGTGATTAATTACAATCCAAGTAGATCTTTACACTATAATTACATTCATTCAGACACCTTGAAGTGTTCAAGAGGTTTTATTATTTGTGAAGAATGGGAGTTGACCTGGCTTTGATCCTAAGCCAAGAAATGTTCCTCGTCACTGCAAAGACACGCAGCTAATTTCATAGCTCTCAATTAACTTCAGTTTATTGTTTTGTGGATCTGGTTTCCCTTAACACAGATCTGAACAGAACGAAGATTTTGACTGACAGATAAATCGCAGCAATTTGTTTATCATCTACCAATCTTGTAGAGAACATTCCTTCTCTTCTTTCCTTCCTTTGGCATTATCAGTCTCACTTTGTGGGTCATTCTGATGACTTGATTTTATATTAGATACCTTTGGTTTGATGGAATGTAGCAAACGTGGTCTATCAAGGGGTTTCTCCCAGGACTTTATGAGAAATTGGCCCCTATTTGAGTGTTAGACATATAAAGGAAACCTGGAAAACTACATGTGATCAGCTCATTGATACAATGCAAATCCGCTACTGTGTGTTCAGCAATTTTTATCCATTTGGCCACTGCTTGGTAAGGTCAAATGATTTTTCTGGTGTCAATCCAAAATATCTATTAATGCAGACCAAGGAGCAACTAGAGCCACAAAATTCTACTTGTCTTGGTTAAGAATTGGACCGAAGGAAACAAAATCCTTTATTAATTTCGGCAATATGACCAAAACCGATGTGTTTGGCAGCTAGCAGTTACTTTTTATAGACAACACTGCAATGTTATTTGTATATGCCAGCATGACGGCCTTGAAAAGCGGAACAGATGGATATAAAAATAATAACATTGACTTTGTAAAGTTGGTAGGAACTGGAGCGGAGGTTTCCTAATTTCTGTACATTTGGCTTCAGTAGAGGCTGCAGTTACAAGCTCAGAATGTGGGATTAAAGATGTGATATATTTTGCTAGTGTGCTACAAGATGGTACGTGGGATGGGAGCATTTATTGACCAATGGTCTTAGCGGCCAGGATGGTTTATGGGTTTTGGCCTGAAAAAATAATCTGGGGCAGGAGATGTTCGATGGAGGATTAGAGGACCAGCTAAAAATTCTAGAATTCCTGGTAATGCTATAACTTTGCGCACTTTCCTTAACACAGTGGAAGTAGGATCTTGTTTTAGTATGATGGATTTGGAATGTTCGAGGAACTCATTAGCTCTATAAACCCATGAACTGTCCAGGCTGCTAAGACCATTGGTCAATAAATGTTCCCATCCTACGTACCATCTTGTATTCGCGCTAGCAAAACATATCGCATCTTTAATCCCACATTCTGAGCTTGTAACTGCAGCCTCCACTGATGCCAAATGTACCATCTTACAAAAATTAGGAAACCTCCCCTCCAGTTTGTACTGACTTTACAAAGTCCTGTTCTGCATTTCGAGGCCATCATGCTGGCAAATATCCTATTCCTCAATTCTAGTTATCCAGCATCACATGTTATTTGTATATCTACCCTGTAAAAAATGTTATGGAAGCCTGAATTTCACAGAATTAAATGTCTGACTGATGTTCATGAACTAATTATAACATTTAATTCAAACGACAAAGTTATAATGTATAATATTTTATTATACGAAATAAATTGATACAGAAGTGAAACAGATTTAAAATCCCTCACAATGAGATCAATTTATAAAACTCTGCTTATATATTTTGGTGGGTTATCATCGAATATATCACCGAATGGAGAGTACCGGTTGAGTTTTGTACGTTTGAGGTAATTTAAAGATGCACATTAGTTCAATACAATGGAATAAATATCTTTGTAACTTCTTACCTGAATCAGTAACATTCATACCTGAATATTAGCACATCAAACGAATACTTCAATCTTTTAAAATGCTGAAATCCTGTTAAAATTGGCTCGTTCTACAATCACAGTGCAGTCATGCAACCATGAGACGGTGGGTGCATCTATACTAAGATGTTAAAATCAATACAATATGACAATGCTGTATTAGCAGAATGACTTAGTGCAGGAGTTCGTGCAAATAACAAAAAGGTTGCTACTCTAAATGATATCTTCGAAGAATTGTTTATTGTGAAACACAAAGATTTTTGATTCACGACACAACTCTGTTGTTAAACGCAAAAATTATCGTTTTTATAAATACTATAGGAAGTGATTTCATACAAAAAATGGTTCTTGTCTTCTGTTCTGAAACACTGTACACATCTGCCAGAAGTTAGATTTGCATAGAGACAATTCTATTTGCTTTAAAGCAAGCAAATCAAAAGAAATCCCTCTTATAAAATGTAATACTGTAGAAAGATATTTACTCCTTGAAGATTCCTTAATATGATCTCGTCATTGTGACCTCTATAAAAGACGAATTAAAGGTTTTTTTTAAACATATTCGTTAAGTTAAATATTTAAAATTAAAATAATTTAATGGATGCATTATCTGATAAAGTGGCTTTAACGCAGCTGAATAAGAAAGCCAATGAGATAGCAAATGGGCTATCTCGTTGGCTTGCTTACTCAGCTGTGTTACCAGGCAATGTGCCCAATGACCGAGGAATGACAGCATTCAGACTGAATTTTAAATATGATAATGAAAGATAAACACTAAATATACTCTAATAGTAAAGAATATAATAAACATACAAAATAAATACAATTTGCTAAAGTTTGTATACTTAATTGCAGTCCCATAGCCAGGAATAAATCATTAGGAGCTAGAAGGGCAACCTGAAAAACTAACTGGGATTTTTTTTTCCAATCAGTACCAAACCTACTTCTTACAATTTAATTCAATTCAATATACTCTTTATTGTAACAAGCCTCAGTCCAAAAACTGTGTCAAATAAGCTTGGGCTACCGAACCAAGGACGGGTTCGGCTAAAGAAGTTAGTCCAGAAAGGGAAGAGGAAGAAGTGGACAAGTATAAGAATAGGTACTTTAAACATTGGCACATTAAATGGGAAGAGTAGAGAGTTGGTTGATATTATGCAAAGGAGGAGAGGGAACATCTTGTGCCTGCAAGAGACAAGATGGAAAGGAAATAAAGCTAAAGAACTTGGTGAAGGGTACGAACTGTTTGCAAGTGGAGCGAATGAGGGAGAAAGGGATGGAGTTGGTATCATAGTTGATAAAGCTCTAAAAGATAGTGTCTGTGAGATTAAATGAAGGTGTGATAGAATTATGAGCGTTAAGTTGGACATTGGTGGAATTTTCATTACAATTGTGTGTGTATATGCTCCTCAGTCAGGTAGTAGAGAAGAAAAGACAAGCTTTTAGACAGATCTTAACCAAGTTATAATGTACATTCCTATGAACCAGAGGTTAATCTATGGAGTGACCTAAATGGTCATGTTGGAATGAGGAAGAATGCAAAAAGAAGAGTTCTTGGGAGATAGATTGTGGGAGAAAAAAATGGAGAGGGAGAAAGACTAGTTGATTATGCTGTAGCTTTTGACCTTGCACTATACTTAATACCTACTTTGAGAAGAAAGTGAATCAACTGGTTATATACATGAGTGGAGGTAGATCCAGCCAGATTGATTTTTTCTTGTGCCGCAAGAGGCATCCGAGTGAAGTGAGAAACAGTAAGGTGTTAAATAAATTGTTGCTGCACAACATAGTGTTCTTCTGGTGGGATTGTGACTTTCTTATGGACCATTGTATGAATTGTGTTAGCCGGATTGAACAAAGGATTAAATGGTAAAGATTGAAAGAGGAGGAGTTGAGGAAAGAGTTTAAGGTAAAAGTGTTAAAAGAAATTTAGTTGTGGCTGCTGAATAGTACATGAATTTTGAAAGTTGGAGAAGAGGTTTTGGGAAAAACTTCAGGGAAGAGGTCACCAGAAGGAAAGGAACTTTGTTGGTGGAATGCTTTTATGCCGACCCCATATAAACATGGGAGAAGGCAAAGATAAAGAAGAAGAACTGTAAATATATTTGAAAACTCATAATATAAAAAGAGTTACATTAAAACTCAACAAAACAGGGCCAAACTGATTTAAGCAGCTTTTGGATGAGCCATCTGTCTATTTCTCTATTGAATTCCTTTGTATTTCAAAGGTATGTTTTCATGTGGGTGGTAGTGATTAGCATCTGTGGCAGGAAGATTCAGATCCCACCAAAAGTGGCACCTACAAACCACTTTTGAGTGGTGCATCCGAGTTTCCGGAACATGCAACCAAGTGATACAGTACATCTTAAAGCGGCCTTAATGTAATTCGTGTCAAATGTTTTTTGCACGTTTAAATTGTGGCACAAATCTTGTTTAATTTTGCTACAGTAGAATATTTTAAATATATTTTTTTTGAATGATACAGTAGAATCTACTTATTGTAAACACCATTATCTTTAGATAAATTGGCATTCTATTGATCCTATCAGTTTAGACCCTATCAGCCATCATTAGTTATCATTATCTTTAATTGTTATTTACTTATAATGCTGCTATCATTTGTTAATTCAACTATTGGATATGCAGGATGAATTATTATAATTAACGATAATGATAATAACAGGGCTGTGGAGTCGCGTAAAAATCTACCGACTCCAACTCCGACTCCGACTTTTCCTTACCAATCCGACTCCGACTCAGACTAAAACACCAAAACTCCAACTCCACAGTCTTGCCAGGGCTGTGGAGTGGCGTAAAAATTTACCGACTCCAACTCCGACTCCGACTCCGACTCCGACCTTTCCTTACCATCTGACTCCAACTCCGGCTAAAACACCAAAACTCCACGACTCTGACTCCGACTCCACAGCCCTGGATAATAAGTAGAATTAACAAATCTTCAAGTTATATAAATTTTTTGAAATGGATGATGAACTTTTAAAATTAATAAGTTAGGAAGGTTTATATTTTCTTCTCACCAAAAAGATAACAGTATTGGAAACACTTCATTACTGCTTTGGCACAAGACCTCATCATCCATGTAATGAGAATTAATGTGTCAGGCTTCGACAGAAGTCCTCATCATCCATCTAACAGGCTAATGTATCAGGCTTCAACAGGCGCACAAACTCTCACTAGATGAATGAAGAGATTTGTACTGAAACTTGAACGAATGTTTCCAATGCTGTTATCTTTTGAGAGATTAAAAAAAAACCTTTATTGTTGAATATCTCTCATAACGTGTTAATTGTTTAATATGACCTTTTAATGTCAGAGTCAATAAAACTAACATTTCTATTAACGATAGTCGTATTTACTTACCTCGCTTATCATCAAATTCCGAGGCAAATTTCAAAATAATTACAATAAGTAGATTCTACTGTGTACTATTTTCTTCATTTCAATATAAGATGAAAAAGTGAAGTTATCCATAAAAAAAGTTTTCTAAATATACTCACTTTGTATGCTGAGACTAACACTTTGCTTCCTAAATATTAAAACAAAAATTGACTGTCAATACAAAACCAAGAGATAAATAAAAATAAATGTATTTCATACATTTATATTACAAAATATCAAATGTAAGTTTAAATTATGAGATTATTTTTAACGTAACCATCCAATTTTAAGAAGTTGCAGATTAGACGGCTGCTTTGGTTCGTTTATGGCAACGTGACACTCGGGCGCTCTGCGAGGGAAATGCCCACGGGGAGAACTTTCTAAGTGAAACTGGCTCCTATTTAGGTGTTACAAATGTGAAGAAAACCCGAAAAACTCCATATAGTTGGTGAGGTGTGACCGACTTCTAGTGATAAGGAAGTTTCATTTGCTCGATCACTAACGGCACTATCCTGTTTTGGACTGAATGATTTTTCAAACTAATTAAAATTCAAGCATTAATTTCTATTTCTTAAAATTTATGTAATTAGTGATGGAATTGCCCTACTTTCGATCAAATTTAATAATTAATTAATTAAATTAGCCTGAAGATAATCCCAAATTATATTTTCTGTTGATTCAGTTTCATTATATCATAAGTAGTATAATCCCTATTTATGTGCATTCCAAGGTGCTTTCTTTTAACCTTCCTCCCCATTAATAAGACAAAATATTTGATACATTATGTTTCAACTAATATTTATGAGAGAAAATATTCTAATCATGAGTGCTACAAGAATGTAATTCCTATGCATTCTGATTACATTTTCCATTTTTTTTGTTTCACTCACATTATCTAGGAGTTGCGCTATTCATTTTAATGCCATTATAATGTTCACTAACCACATACTGTAGATCTTGCTATTGGCAAATATCAGCTAACTGTTACACCTGTTACGAGCGTGCTCAAATCAAAATTATACAAAAATTTATAAAAGAATTAGTCTTTGTTCTCCCTGCGTTTCTTTATACAGTGAGTGTGTACTGAAATGATGCGACGAGCAGTGTCGGCCAATTAGAAAACAGTTTCAGTGTGTTCGCTGTAAAGCACTTCTCGAGCGCTGCATAAAGAAACGCGGGGTCTACGAGATACTAGCATCTTAAAACCATAACTCCAATTTTATCTGTTACATGAAAATCTTTACTCTCATTGCTGAAGTGTACGGCTTATCCCAATCTGCCCACATCTAAAGCCCAAAGCCTTACATCAGAAAGATATCGAAGAAAGATTAGGAAGACAAGACTGACCCCATTTAGCGTTACGCACGAAATAATCCCAGAAAACTGTACACAACTAGCCCATTAAAGTGCAAACACACAACCAACCACCAGCATTTGATGGCATTACAAATTCAGCCACTGGCATTACAAATTCCTTTAAACAAAGACAAAATCAAGCAGAACATTTAGCTAAACACAGTTTAAAAATTACTTATAAAGTCTTAATTTTTAAATTGTGAGAGAGAGAGGAGAAGAAATGAAATTTGAATAATAATTTTGAATTATTTCCAAAAAATGATGTAACAGTTTACAAAGAGAAAAATTCACTTCTTATCTGAAAATCAAACAAGTAAACGTAAGTATATTGACATAAACTATATCTAAGAAGTTCAAGGTTAGATTTTAAACAAATAACGATGAGATACGAGCATTTGTTTGTCGTCAAAGTGAATGTAAACGTGCATTTAGATTAAAAGAATGTGCGACAAGATGTATAATTCTCTAAATTTAAATTCACTTTATATTCTAGATTTTAATCTGCCTTATTTAAAACATTTGCCAAATTTATAATTTTATGTATAGAAACAGGATTTTCAGGAGTTGTAGAATTAATGGAATAAAGCAACACAACACATAGGCAATGTGCCAAAGCAGAGTGACTTTCTATGGTAAACCGTCTCCTATTCGAGTGTTGGACAAGTGAAGAAAGATGGAAAACCCCACACGATCGGCCAATGGCGAGGAACAAGCCTTCAGCGGTTTTATCCATTTGGCTAACGGTGGACTGAAGATTTTGGGGCTGACAGATGCTAATAAATGAGAGAATTATGTTCTTGGCCTGCCATTTATAGGATCGTGTACTTCTGGAACCAGAATAATTTGGAATTTAGGATGTAGCAACCAATTATTTGTTCTAATTCATAATATTTATTATACAATATCAAAAAGAATGTTATGTAATATTCCACAACTTATTCATAGTCATAAAAAAATCAAGATTTCTGGAATAGGTAGTTATCAAACAATTAATCGATCATTATTCCATGTTATATTAACAAATTCTATTTTATTTATGCAGTTTTGTGTATACAGATTGCATGGTACAGTTTTTATGTACATTTAACTAGATACGGTAATGAACATGATATACACGTATAGTAAAGTGACTATGTGCCACAAGAGAAGACCACTTGCAGCGTCCTTAGCATCAAAATTTGGAAGTCAGCACTCCCATCTTGAAAACATGATACAGTTAAATGTCGGCTACAAAGTCATAGACTATGACCAATTTTGTATAGAAGGATCCTGTGTAAGCCTGTCGTGTGAAAGCTAATGTGCACATTGAGCACAGACTGTAAAATGTATATATCTTATATATTCTTTCATATGTTTTCATTTATTTCTCTTGTGTTTATTTATAATGTGTGTATTTCTCATTTTCCTATGTCTTTCATTACTGCATGTTGCTCAAGTCAGCATACAAGAATGTTACTACATGCCCTGCGCGTACAAGGTGGTTAAATGAAAAATTCTGCAGGTAGATCTGGCAATGTTAGCGAGAAATTCAGTTTCCTTCAAGTAAATAAATGTTCAAGATATAAATACTTCTTGTAACGTATAGCAGGAAACTGGGCTGTGGCATAGCCAAGTCTATTTCTCGCAAGTAAACGATTGTTTGACTGTTTAGCATTTGTATTATCATCACATAAAACTTAAAAACATAGTAATAGTTAAGAATTAGTTACATAAATTTTTGTAAATATTAATATTTACCTATAAATTTTTGACATAAATACACTGTGACCGTTAATTATTGTCATCTTCGAGTTTCTTACAAATGACTTTGCATTTGTAATTTAATTTTGGATCGTGTAATAATTCGGAGTAATTGTTGTTCCATTTGGGTTCGGTTCTGAAAATCCGGCTTCGACGTCTCTCGTGTCCTAAAAATAACAAAAATACAAACAAACGTACAAAATTATATTAATTATTCTATAATAAAACAGTAAAGTGATTGCAAATGTTTGCTGTTATGATATAAATACAAGTTGCGTTCCTATGTAGGCATTCTGCAAATGTAACACAGTCATCAATGTATGAATTTTTTGGCTTAGGGATGATTTATAAATTACATTAAGCTATTTTTATACTTTTTAAATAATATCCCACTCCCATAAAGCTCCTTAATGTACCAACCTCCAAGAGCAATGTCCTTGAATGACTCTCTTAAATGTACTAAAGAATAATACATAGTATGGGACAGAAAGTGTCATTTTATTAATTGCAAACAAAGTGTTGACTTAAATGGTACAGTTCAGTATACAACACTGGAAACAAAAACGAATCGTTCCGTTACCTGAGGGTGAGCACACCCTAGCATTACGTAATGTTTGCGTAAATTCCACCCTTTGTATGCATTGCAATGAACGTAAACCCACCCACATCTCTGTTATGTAATTTATGTATGCATTCTGTAATTACACACAAAGCCATCAAGTTTTCGGCTTATTTTATGCAGTTAAATTAAAAATTTAAGATTAAATATTTAACAAAAATTTATATACAGCGAAACCTTTCTATATCGACACTCACAGAACAAAAACTGTCGACATAGAGAGAGGTCTATCTAAGAAAGGTTACTTTTAAATGAAGCCTGAACTATTTTTATTTATGAATGCATAATGACACATTAAAGTAAGGATAAAACACAAGATTTTTTTTATTAATTCTAGTAATCTTCTTCCTAGATTAAATCTTGTGCTAGCTTTATGTCATCTGCATCTTTTATATTTATGTAAAACGGCTCAGGTTCATTCAGAGCAATCGGTACAAATGCATCAGTGGCTCTTTACAGAGTGTCAATCCGGCTGCAATGCCATTGCTATCATCATTATCCTCCCTTGTTTGAATCTTGGGAAACAGAAGGACTGTTCTTGATTGAATGCCAATGAAGAACAGTCCTTCTAATGGTAAATCCTGCTTCTTTCGTAAGATACTGCATGCCGTGTTGCAAAATTATGTACAGTATTCTCAGAGCTAGAAGGAAATTCAGCTCTGAATTGTCAATGCTGGAGAACATTTTTCTGCTACTTTGCATCCTTGAAACACAAACTTTTGTCTGGGAAGATGTAAGAAAACACTCCTGTTTAATCTGCATTCAAAATATTTTCTAAAGATTACCAAGTGATAATGAAAGTAAGCTTAGTCACCTATTGTACTACAGTGTTATGATCGACTCCTAAAACTTCCCAGAAATAGCTTCGGATTTGATACGTTGCTTTTGATATTTTAAAGCCATCCATTCAAGGCCTTGAATTCCACAATGCCAGCAAAACTGTTCATAATTGTGTAAAATCATAAGCAGTTTCATTAATAAGTGTATTTTAATCAATTACGACGGTCATAAAGTGAAAACAAAAATGCAACACACTACTACTGCTGCTCAGGAAGATGTCTGATATCAAGAATGTCAAGAAGTTTATTGTTAATTACCAGAACAGCACATTATTATTTTGGTTTCGTAATGAAACTAGTCCCTTCCGTATCACCTTCATATTTACAAGTCGACCCCTCTATAACACTGTTGATTCTTCTGTTTTATATGAATTTCACGTTGTACGAGTCACTTAGATTTTACAAATACGTGAGCCGTTCACAGCCCGGTACACATATTTGTAAAATCTAAGTGACTCGTACAACATGGAATTCATATAAAACGGAATAATCAACAGTGTTATAGGGGGTCGACTGTAGTAAAATCTACATGTCCTGTCTCTGTTTATACATCAAATATAACACAAGTCAACAATACGTTCCGCAGTTCTCTTCTTAGTCTTGCGGAATTTGAATAATTTAGCTTAAGATTTTCTCTTCGAGTAAGTGAAAACTATTGTTGTGAAAATATTTTGCTTACTGTAACTGAATAAGAAGTGTAAAGCTTAAAAATGTGGAATTTTCTACTAATAATAATTAGAAATCTTTTTAAAAAAATTCAAAAATTTGAACTTACTTTTAATGATTTTGGATTTCTGGCGATTAACTCGCGATGTGACAGGATGATTCTCCCCAAGAGGAGATAATATAGAACAGTTCCTAGCGGGTTTGGAAAAACAATTTCTTTTGACTTCGCCACTATTGTAAAATTGTTTACAGTTAAACAAACACTTCCTTGCCTGTAACGTATTGTTTTTATCCTTATTCCGAAGACACATCTGAGACGGCGGAGGAGATCTCCGCCAAGATGACATTAGAACCGAATTCGGCGACTGTTGAGAGAAACGTTGTCTTCTAAGAATACTGTTTCTACTATAATCTTTAGAGTTAGATAAACACGTTTCTGATTCGAGTCTTAATTCATCGTCTGAAGTGCGAGTTCTGGGGCTTCTCCGTAAGATATGGGAGCTATTTTTATTGGGGTGAGGTAATGAAAATTGTTTGGTTTGTCGGTAAGAATGATTTGTTTCTGGAGTAATACAGTCTGAAGATTTCTTGCAGACATCCACAGAATTCTTTCTTGTGTCTGTCTGGAAAGATACATAAAAGAGATGTTAACATTTATTTTCCTAAAATAATAAACAATACTTTAGATATAGAAGATTAACTTAGAATGATAACTATGATCTAGCTCTGTATATGCACTTAGAATGGCATGTATAGGGGATGCTCTAAGTTTGTGATTCAAATATGGTGGATCCAAACAGAGAGCTAAACAGTATCGTCAGTCTAGCACCACAAAATGGCTTCCGACTGTGCAAGATCCTTTGCTTCGTCAAAGATTCAAGTTTAAAGTGTGAAATAAATACAATGCTTAGCCAAATATATGAGATTTTTTTTAACTGATTCTAAATAATACAAATGAAATTTTACATTGGTTTTCAGAGACTTATTAAACAAAGTATTAATATTGAAACTTAAAACAAATGTTGATTAATATAAAGAGTGGGTGAAAAGTAACTATTCATTGATAAATTTTTTTTGCTATAATTTCTGTATTTCTAATGCAATGATGAGAATTACTCAACACTTGCCTTATTGAAGGGAAATACTGTTGCATGCTTAAAATTCAATGTAGGCACTGACACAATCCAACAATGACATTGTTTTTTTGGATCATGGCATGGTTGGATGGCCAGTTTTTCTGGGAAACCACAGCTGAACCCATGATTATTAGCTTCGAATGACAATTCTCGATTGTTTTTGGATAGATTGTGGTATGACATCTTTTCACAATACACTACCATTTCTGCACAATGACCACTGATTTCACACCTTGAAGTGTGCAGCGTAGCAATCTGCACTCAATCCCGAACAGACAAGTGGTCGGCCGTCATTTTCGTCACTGCGCATGCAGCCTCTCTCATTCACCGCCCACACCACAAATGCAGGAATTATAAAATTCCATTAACTGATGTGTATATAAACACACAAATTTTATTACAAAAATTATAATAATTTCTCAATGCCTAGTTACCAACTCTGTGCTCCAAATTTCCGCCATTTTAAATAGTTACAGTGGTGTAAACAGGAAGAACGACCAACTTTATTCTTAGTTGCAGTTGCACTTGCACAGTATTTAGAGTTAACGGAAACAGCCTTTGCAGTCATGGTTATCTGCATGGCCAATAATTACAAATTTTAACTGCCGCTCAACAAGCTCCTGGTATCACGAAACTCGGCACGAATAATTACTCAATAATTGTGCATGCAGATAATACTCTTTCAGTTTTAGTGCTTGGAGCATATGCCCCTCTCTCTCTCTCACAGTGTCTAGAAAAAGATTCTTATTATTTTACTTCTACATCAACTTTTCTTCATTACTTACCCATTTCAATAGTATAATTTGACTAACCTTGTTATTATTTTCATTAGATTGATCAATATCCGGCGTGATGTTTATCCTCCTGGTTACAACTCGACACTTCCGCAACTTTTCGACATTGCTAAGTGCGCTCCGATTGTCAACATCTAATATGAAAGTTTATTAGTTTTTTTATAGATTATTGCCTGTATTATTGAATTACAAAAACTATTTAGTTACTTAACAATAACGTTTGACAACTATAACAGTTATAATCACCATTTGATTTGTTGTAGGGAGCAATCCATTAATTATATGTATAATTTAAGGGAAGAAGGGTTATAAACAGTACATTAACGTACACAACAAGCAGGGAAGGAGGTCTAGGGTGGCTCGAAAACTCTACACACAATTACTGGACTGCCTCAAGTATGTATTATGCAGTATAGTTAATGGCTGAAGTTTAATTTAATGATTTAAGACTGGAGGTTTGTTCCGTATTTCTGAACTCGGCGACCGATTCTGCTTCAAATTTGTAATAGATATGGCTTACATCATCAGTAAACATGTTGCCGCAGTGTTTACAGATGGCAGAAAAATATTAAAACATATGTGTTTCAAGCCTATTTTATGCACACTGATTTTTATAATTTGTATCAAGATATGCAGTCAAAGTTTTCATCTTCTAAAGATGAAAAAGATGCATATGTTTATCTACAGTTACTGTAACTCTAGATAAGCATATGCAAGTAATTAATAGCAGCATATAATTACTAAATTATCCATAATTTTACTTGTCTGTGACAAAAAAATGTTAAGAAATGCCGCGCTAAGATGTTCAGTTAGCAACGGAGCCACTTAACCACGTATTTTTCCAAATGTATTTGTCATTAAGTAGCGAAAACCGGTATCGTATGAAGAAAATAATATGTTTAAAACACATCACATTGATTTACAGGAGCAGATTACCTGAAACTTTAGATATTTCATTATTTTTAGTAGAATCTTTAGAATTCATTATTTGTAATCCTGGAGACATTTGATTATTTGCCTCTTTGCAGACTAATTTATGGGAATATGTTTCCTTCACCTGATAAATATAAAACAACAAAAAAATGAGAATAAAATGTAAATTTTTGGAAACAAAAAAAGAAAATTACAATTACCTCTGAGTTGCATTTTGAGAGAGAATTGTTACACAATTGAAGCTGCGCTTGTCTACTGTAAATACGAACGACCGACGTGTTAGTTTTAGATTTAAAAAAGGCTGGATAACTTATATCGGATTTGTCTGGCATCTCTTCACTTTTGTCGTCCTCGTGGTGCTGTTTCGTCACTAACTCTTGAGGAGGAATCTAAGAATAATGCATTTAAAATAAATGTATCTATAATTGTCCGTATTTAGTTCAAATTATTAGAAATTTGTGGGACGTTAAGCAGGTTTCTAAAAACAATTATCATGGCACTTTTAAATGCAAATTAAGTTAATTGCTTTTCTTATGTAAATGAAAATCATTAATTTAAATAACTATTGTTGTAACTTGCCGATATTTTAAGCTATTGGCAAGTTACAACAATAGTTATTTAATAGTTATTAGAACAAAAATACTGTTTTATTTAATTCACAAAAAATATAGACAAAAAGAATTAGGTTAAGTGGCAAATAATATGGTGAGAGAATGTTTACAAACAACTTTAAATCACATGATTAAATTGGTTGAAAAACACTGAGTTAGACCTACAATAAAGGTAACAGGAACTGACATATCTGGGACAGACCACACTTGAAAAATTCTTGGAGGTTTTGACTTCTTGAATTTGATTGTATTCGAGACAATGTTGACGCACGACAAGTGCTTGTGGAATGATTCCCACATCATCCTGACCTCAAACGACTAGCTTTTTACCTGTAGCATTACTCGAAAGCTCTTGTTTATGAATAAAAGGTCATGCCTCATACTAATTTGAAGGTCAGAATCAACAAGCATTAAACAAGCACCCATCTGAATGTGTGCAACAAGATGGAAATTATATTAAAGTGACAATGACTAATTTTTATCAAACAAACAAGCTCTTATCAAATAACTAAGTGGAAGCATTGAGGGAACCAGACAATATTCTGGTCAGAGATTGCATGAAACCGCTGAATGTTGTCATCAGACCTCGTCTGGGATTTGGCGGCTCTGTGCGGTCCCAAGTTCAGATCAAAGAGCAAATAGTGACAGGAAAAGTTTCCAGCTATAACACAACCAAATCAGAAGAAGAGCAGTGACCTTATGAAAGACGGGACTGGAGGAGAAGAATCAAATTGATTACCATCCATGCAAGACATGGGTAATTTACCAAAAGGATGTCTTCTGGAAGACTTTTTACAGGAAATTGGCCCTATTTAGATTGTAGATATGTGAGGAACACCTAGAAAACTCAACGTGGCTAGTCAGTTTATTAGGTGCAAACCTATGACCAGTGTTTAGTGATTGAATCAACTTGTCCAGTAGGCTAGAAAGGTGTAATTAATCTGTCTCAGATTATAAATTTTAAAGTTTGATATCTGATCTTGTATTAATTATTAAAAATTTTTTATAATTTTCCCAAAAATTATTTGAGAATTGGCATGCTGAAAGTGATAATGTAAGATGTTAACTTATATATTTATTAATTTATATTAATTCATAAGGACTAATATCTTACTTTTATCACAACAGGAGAAGACAAGACATTTTCTTTATTCAGCAACAAAATATTAATAGGATCCAAAGAAGACTTCAGATGTAACAAAAATTGATTTGATGAATCATTGACCTAAAATTAAATTATTAGTTAACAAATTTACTATTAGTTCTTTAGAAATAGAACAACAAACTATTTCATATAGACTATTGCTTCTTATTGTGTGTTACCTGTGTGAAAAATGCCGTTTAACTGTAGTCAACCATACTTTGACAATATTTACAAAGATATTGTTATGCGAATAGATCAAATGCGTTACATCGCTTGTATAAATTAAAATAAAACTTACAGTGGATGTATTTTGTATATTATGTCTATATGAAATGTATAAGAATGCAAAAAAATAGAAAAACAAAATCATTCGTTACTCATTCTATCAATTTAACATTGAAATACCTTTCCGGGAACTGCTAGCTGCAAAGTGGAAGGTGTGTGAATGAGGAATAACGTCTCACCGAGAAACGATGTACAAATATCTTCGTGACTAACGTAAGCTAAATGATTATTTAACAGTTCGTTCGTAGTGTTGCTGAAACTCTGTTGCAGAAGAGAATAGTGCAAATCTATTTCCTCTTCTTTCTTATCTAACACATCTAACTCTCCTTTTAATGATGTTATACGGTTTGTCACTTCCTCCGCATCAGATTCTGGTACGGTGCCACTGAAAGAAGTCAAAATTAACAATGGTAAAAATTTATATTTACTATTTAACTAGCATTAACGATCGACTTACTTCCATTGGATACAAGTTCCAAATTTCTTAATTAATCCAGCTCCTTGGAGTATGCTGATAACGTCGATTATCCTATTCGATTCAATAGGATGCATGCTTTTGGCTATCTGCAATTAACTTTTCAAATTTTATTGTGAATTTTTAAGAATTAAATTTATATAAAAGAATTATTTGTAATGCTTATAATAATAATAATGTCAAAAATATTGCAAATTTCTCATTTATAGATGCTTTATGCCAGTGAAGCGAGATGATATGATATGATTAAAAGTGTTAGAAGGCCAAACCTTATGGCAAAGCCTTTGAAAAGGAAAGATGAAGAGTTTTAGAGAAAGTGAGAAGAGGGAACAAAAGTAAAGAATGATAGGAAAGCGTGAAATGGGACCCATAGCTCTTGCCATTGGCCAACGCAACTGCCTCGAAAACTGGAACAGATGAATATAACAACTAAATGCCAATCACAAAGAAATGAAAAATCATATCAGATCAAACAGAACTGCTGTTATAATATGAGTTTTTGCATGTAAAGATTCTATAAAAGTATATATTCAAAACCTATTTTTTAATACTGTAAAATGTTTTAACTCACATCAAGACATAAAGGTAATGCAATCTTCTTGATGAGAAATTGTCAAATTGATCACGACAGACCAATTGCATGGCCACAAAAGCGACCTAATGTCACCCCTTCTATTTCCTTCTGTGGGGCTCTATACCAGACAAAGTGTTTGCAGAAAAGAGCAAACAGAAGTTACCAAGCTATGCACACAATATAAGACGAGATGTTTACAGATAAATCAAGTGCAGACTTTATATTCTGAGAGCAATGAAAGTAGAACGTGTGGAAGTTTACTAATAAGCTGTTGCAATATGAAAGGTTTGTGAAGAAACATTTTGAATTAACAATATGTACTTAACTGTTTTTAGATATCTTTTATAGTTTATTCTCTGTTGATTTTCTTAATAGGGTAAATTATAAATTATAGAGTTAATGGGATATGGCAAGAGAACATTGAGCCAATCTGAGAAGGGTTTTCCATAGAAAGTCCTGCCTCTCGAGAAGACTTTCCATAGAAACTGCCCAGATTTAGTTGTTAGACACTAAAATACTTCAGATATCAGCACACTGATGAGGTGCAAATCCACTACTAACTGCTTTTGGTGGTTTTATCTGTTTAGCCACTAATGGGACCAGATAAGGTAAGATTGCAGACATAAACAACACTATTGAAACCTTAATAGAGCCATAGAGCATGCCCACAGGAGCAAAACCATCAAAGGAGACGTACCTCTACACGTGACTCCCTTGTGAGATATACCCCCTTGAAATCAGCCTATTTCCAGGCGCTACAGGAAGTCGGAAAGTCACACACACCCCACTATGCGTATTGTGTGTTTAACAGACAGCCAAGCACAGCAGTCAGACATTCTAATTATATTTATCAGTAACGAATAAAGCAAAGTCTGACAAGCGAGATATTCACTTCCAAGTGTGGCATCCCAACGGCAGCAGTTCCGGTCGCCATCTCGCTCAAGGACGTCACATTTGCCAGCAATTTTTAACATAAATAAGAAATGCATTCACTTCTACTGACTGAAACCAATTTTTACCACGCTCTCACCCCAGTGCACACACAGGAGTGAGCCCCCATACCCCTCCAAATTGTATTAAACTCAAGCGTGCCATTTAAAGCCCACATAGTTGCCCGACCGAATAGTTAAATGCTACGGTCTTATCGAAGCGCGTAGCACGACTCCCGGAAGCGGGCCAACTTCGGAAGGACGTAACGTGCAAAGAATCGTACACGCAGGTACGACTCCTTCGACATTTTTGCACCTAAGGGCACGCTCTACGGCTCAGTTAAGGTCCCATCAGCATCATGCATCCGCAATCTCATCAATGTTAAGTAAAAATGTCACGTGACTGACTTTATAGCTCAAGAAGCACACAAATTCCTGTAAGATTAAAGCAATTTTAAGTCATAAATTAAAACAGCACGTAAACATACTTAAATAAAGATTTATTAGAGAATTTACGAATTATTTCGCATGCATTAATTACATAAAGGACAATTAAAGTGAGGGGCAACAACAAACGAAACAGCTGTTTACGCTTTGTGACGTTTAAAAATGACGTTATATTCGAATGCTCTTCAATTAGGCCACGTGACTGGTAAAAATAATCAATTTACCGTTTCTAGATTCAATATTCCGTCGGCGGAATCTCGTAGCATCGACATCAATTTTTCGACTAATATATGTAAATCTTTCCTCCTTCTCTTACATCTTTTACCGCCGGCCATTTCGAACAATCGCCGGAGGGTAAACTGACGTTTGGTGACGCTCTTCTGTTATTTTTTGTCAATAAACGTAACGTTTTAAGTACGGCGCCGCCATCTTTAGTCCTTTTCGTCATTTGTTATTGTAACTTGTCGGATGAGTATTTCCTTATATATATTTTTTTGTTCGTTTATTATAATAAAATAATATTTTCGTCTTTTAAAGTTTTTAAACGGAATGTAATAATAAAGAATTATTATTACTATTATTATTATTATTTTAATTTACTTTTTACTCTTTCCGCCAGGGGGACAGTGTGATAGCTTTTCGTAAGATTCGTCGTGAATTCCACAAATTCCACAATAGGGACCACCGGGTGGTGAGGGTTAGTGGCGCGTTATCGTATGGCCAATAAGGGCAATTGTCTGGGGCTCTCTGCTAGTGGGAACCCCAGACGAATCTTTTTTAAAATCAATGTACTAAGAATATCGAAATTTAAATTTGGGCCATATCTGGGGTGCCTAAATTGCTGGGGTGGTGCAGGGGCAAAGTACATTGGCACCGTGAAGAGGTCACGTTAAAAAACGAAAGAAGATACCCACAAAATTCCCAGAGCAAAAATGTTTCAATTTAATAATGTCTGTACAGTACATGCGGCTTTTTAATTAACTCAAATTTTTCTGGGGTGCCATGAATTGATAACGCGCTACTGAAGGAGATGGTCCCACGTATCTGGGACACGCTGCCTATCAATAATTCGCTGGGATTCATTCTCGTGTCCTCCAGGGGAATGAGTTTAGCGGTAGGGAAATACGTCGGGCCTATTTTCTACCAGTCGATTGCAGCCCGTCCCTCACTACCGTCGCTCCGTTGTGGGCCTGGCCGAATCCATAATAGGCCTGCTTTAAGAGGCCCTCTTAGTGCCCACAGGGCAGAAAGAGTAAAAGAAAAATAACCAGTCGATTGTCTAAATTGAAACCTTGGCTAAATCTTAGCCTATAAAACGGATCCTTTTCACAATCATGGTGGGCACTACAAAGAGCCTTTTAACTCTTTCTACCAACAGGGCGGAAAAGTTAAAAAAAAACAGGTCAAGGGCGCTCGTACATCATGGCACGTGTCCCTTTTAGTCTGAGTTGCCCGTTTTTTCTAATCCCGAGGGAGCTCCTATTGTTCCCACTGTCGCACAGTGGGACCAAATCCTAAAAAGCTGGCCAAAAGTCGAAAAATAGAGTTTAAGTTCCGGTAATTTCTAGTCGTGGGTTAGGTTGGATAAGAGTCCGAATGTCGAATTCTAGACTTTAGCGCCCCCTATCCCTTATACCCGCTATTGTAGTTTAGTCGAAAGGGGACCCTCAATCGAGCTAGACGCGTCATACAGTAAGCAAAGATTTTTACGCTATATTCAAAAGGGTGCCAAATCTCTAAAAATCAATCGAATTTATATTTAAAAAATGGAATCTGCAGCTGTAAGTAAGTAGAATATCATTATGTAACAAAAAATTAATAATAATAATTTATGTGATAACAGTAAATGAATGATTTGTACGAAAATGAACGGAAGATTACAACAGAAAATTTTAAACATGTAGAGAAAAGTTCATAAATTCTGTAGAGTTCTGCGACTGGACCGATCGCATGTTGTAGATGGAACTATTATTGAATGAAAAAAATTAAAACTAGCTGCAACTAGCTGCAACTGTGCCATTGGTGCGAGTTCTTGCAACGTAAAACATAGTTTTCTGAATTTTGTACATTAACGACGCGGAATGTTTTGCTCTTTTTCTTGAATTTGTCTGTGTGTTTTGGATGTTGTTTGCGTGTAGCATATAAGCTTGAAATCAAACTGTGGCAAGCGCATAGTGATAAAGAAAATAAACAAATAAGACTGAAAAACGAATATACAGAAGGGTTTTCGTATAGAATTGGGTCTAATAGTCGATCAACCAAAGCTTGGTTTCGAGAGCTGGAATGATGGCAATACCTCTCGACGATTTTTCGAAAACTCAAGCATTTCTGCTGCTATTACAGGGGTTGATGAGGACTTGATTAAGCGTTTCCGTGTCATATTGCAGACAATTTCGTGTGCCCATGAAATCGATTTTATGGAATTTCAAGATTACGCCTTACAGACAGCCCGTTACTTTGTGCAGTTATATCCGTGGTTCTTCGTACAGAACTTCGGTACAGAAGATATTGATTCATGGTGCAGAAGTGATAAATTCATCGGTATCGCCGATAGGGCAGATGTCTGAAAACGCTCAAGAGTCTACTAATAAATACACTAAAAAGTTTCGAGAAGATTTTGCAAGAAAAGATCTCGAGTGAAAACAGTGAAAAACATTTTACGCCTATTATTAATATCCGATCCGTTTATTTCGAGTTTGCGCGAATTACCTCGAAAAAACTCAAAGTCGTTGCTTCCAGAAGCAGTTTTATTGTTAGTTACGCCACGTATACAAGCAAGTACGGGAAGCTCCAGCGATTTCAAAGTTGAATCATCTGATTGTGAATCAAATTATTTTTTGGATGACGATGCATGAACTTTTAATCAAGCGATTGTATGTTTTATCATATTAAACAATATATGGATTTATTTTGTACTTTTTCTATAAAAGTGGTTCGTGATAAATCCGCCATTTTGTTTTTATTTCAAATTTTGACTTTGGATTCGTAATCAGTGATCCCGAGAACCCTCGAATACTGACTTTCAGGCAAATTGATAACGCTTTTGACTTTTGGCCAGCTTTTTGGGATTTGGCCCCACTGTGTGTCGACGAAGAACAGAAAATTCATGACTTCTAGTCTATTCTACAAATATAAGAGATACTAATGAATGATATTTTTGTATTGTCACGAGCGGCTTTGTTGTATGTTTACCAGAACTTGGCCTTAAAAACAAGGAATATTCCTTAAGGCCAACTTGTCCCGACTGCAACTAACTTGTGAGAGTGCTGATCCGTCATTGAATCATAGCATCAAGCTTCTTTCATAATGTACGATACTCTTTTTTTTATAGCTTGTGCCTCCCTTTTTTATGCTTTACAAGCTCAACTGAAACAGGTTCAATTCTGTTTATCTTATTCCTTGAATATTCGTGGACAACTCCAAATTATTTGTAGTGTAATAATAAATAAAAACGTAATATTAGTTTTTACTTTTTCCGCTCCGTGGGCATTAAGAGGGCCTTTTTATCAAGCCCAGCGAATGATGGCCAGGCCACCAATGAGAAGCAATCGGGTAGTGAGAAACAGGCCGAACATAACCCAGACAGACCATCAATGAAAAACTCTTGGGGAATTGGGGATTCCGATGCCTGGAGCGGCATGCGGACGCCTTAACCGCCCCGGCCGTTTGGCCTATTGTTAATAAGGTTACCATTATCAGATTCGAGCTGTTTTCGTTGAGGAGTTTCATCGATCCACTATTTAATCAATAATCAATGCGGGTAAACAGCAGGACACGCATTCATTGTCGTAGACGAATACTTCTAAAACATGATAGGTATTCGAATATGCTTCAATTACTATAGCGTGTTCAGTTCTGTATACATATTTTAGAAAAGTATTTGTATATTTGCTACATTGGTGTCTATCACAGAGCAAGTTATCTATAACAATGGAGAATTCGAACAATACGGAAATGTGTATGGCGTATAACTTCATACCGATATCATCTGTAATTAATGTATTCGGTATGGATCCAATTTTCTCGTGTAATTGTATTAAAAAAATGAAAAACAACAGAAAAAATACTCTCTCTTCTAAACTTTTCAAATTTTACATCAACTCGATTGAGATTTTCCACTGGATTATGATACCCTTCTACGTCGTGCAAATCGTACGACCCGATTTTTATTGTGTTCGAAACATATACATATACAAAGATTATGCATTGCACGCTTCAGTTGTATTCCTGATAATGTCAGTATATTGCTCTTTACAGTTTAGTATCATTAAAAGGTATAAAATTAATTTTCATTTTCTTAGATACAATTACAATAGAGAATGGAAAATGATTGATCAAATGCAAACCTTAATTCTGGGTTTTCTGTCAGGATTCTTCTTGTTACTGTTGATGCTATCGATGATGCCAACGTTGATTTTGTACCCAGCAGTAAAGAATATGGGTGGCAGCGATTCTGAAGCTTTACCTTGTGCTATTATTCATACTTTATGGTTGTTTTATGTGGCATCACATATGTTTTCTCTTCTACTGTTTTTCGTATTCGTAATACTTCCAATTTACAAACGATTAGCAAAAATGTCCGAAGAGTTAACAGAAATGGAACCACAAACAGATTTCCTGATAAACAAAGTAAAACGAATTATAGACAAACATACAGATGTATGGGAAATATATGAAATATGTAATGATAATTATTGTGTTCTTTTCGCTATAATATATTCGTACTTTCTATATGTTACCTGCTTTCTTGGGTATGGAGCAATTTTCGTTCAAATGGATCCTCGTTTGTACTTACCCATAAGAATTATTTTTCTTACATTTCTGCTTGGATTATTATACGCTTCATGGGCATTATCTTTTATAACATCAGCTGTAAGTAAATTTTACGGAATATTAATTTATACGACTAATTACAGCAGTAATTGAGGTCGTAAAAATCTGTCTCTGTAAGGAGTCCCGGATCTGCACTGTGTTCTGCATATATCAGGCTCCATCACTCATTACCAAGCTGGTGTTATTGTAGGTCTGTCCGAATCCACGAAAAGCGTGGGGAAAAAGGGTATATTTATGTCCACAGGACGAAAGTTTGGTTTGTGCGATCTGACTAAAAAAAAAGACGCACGAGTGGCTAAGCGGTTCCGTTCCCTAAACACTGAAAACCTAAATGCCGGTCGTGGGTTTGCGCCTCGCCAGAACAGGCTGGCAATCTGTAATTTTCCGGGTTTTCTCCACATCTGTAACGCCTAAATAGGGGCCAGTTACCCTTAAAAAGACTTTCTGGAAGACATCCCCCTAGGCAGATCATCCAAGTGTTGCGATGTTATAACTTAATAAAAGAAAACAACAAACAGACAAAAGAAAGTGTCTTCCGAGAAGACTTTCTATGGAAACTGGCGTCCCATTTAGGTGTTAGACAAGCGAAGAAAATCCAGATTAATCACATG